ACATGTGGTCAAATAAAGAAAATATAGACAAACAAACAATAGTTAACACAAAGACCAAAAATTAAACTAAAAATATTAGCAAAAAGAATTAGCCAAACTGAGTAACAAAGTTCTAAAACATGGCTGGAGGATATCAATATATTACTAAACACAATAGTACATAGTGGCCTCTGATAATAAAGTTGCCTAAGTGACATGAAGTGATTTCTTAGAAAGAGTATGATCAATATTCAAAGAATTGAACAGTCTTTCCTCACCTACAGCCACCAGCAGCTCCTCCAGGTCTCCTGACATCTCACCCTCGATGCTCTCCTGCAGAGTCTTCTTACTGATGTTCTTGTATTCAATCAGAGCTGGAACAAAACATTTGAATGCACCAAGAGCTGAAAGTTAGCTTACGTAAACTGCTTAAGGTTGGTGGGTACATAGAGTAAGTCCAGAAGGAGCTAACAGAGCAAGTTAGCACCAAGGCTAAAAAATAGATTATATACAGCTTAAGGTTTTAGAGTGAATAGCAAAGTTAGCCCAGAAGGTTTTTAACACATAAATGCAGTTTTAAGGCTAAACATTTGCTGAAGTTAATAACTACATTTTTTTGAAGCAATAACATGAATGGGCTTAAAGTTAGCTCCAAAGTCAAAAGCTAGCTGAACTAGCAGAGTAGTTTACTGTACAGCTAAATATTCTTAATGGGGTTTCCTAGTTTAGCATGGAATATTTTAAAATTTTTATTAACTATTGAACAGTCCATGTTACTAGAGAGACTCAGGGAAACTGTATCTAGTACAGTTGCTGTAGGAGATACTGTAGAGTGATAGATTTGCATTGTATGTTTATCTACTGACATTTGCATTAGACTCATTAGAATTTGTATCTCACTCTGTCGTAGCTGAGGAATGCTCCTGTGGCACAGGATGTCAATGAACTTGTCCTCGTCCGTGCCCCACTTCTTCTCCCCTGCCTCATACAATGCCTGGGTGAGATGATAAGATTCAGTCAAAAGCTAAACACCGACCAAAGTCAAATTAAGGTTTCGGTGTGCTGGAGAGCCTGTACCTTGGCATCTGCTCTGGCTTTGGCCGTGTCCACATTAGTGCTCTCATCTCTCTTCCCCTGTTAAGAAATACAGGAAATACATGCTGAAAATGTAATGTGGCCATAGAATTTTAACAACAAAGTTTAAACTTAAGTTTGCTTTGGGTTCCAGATTTGACGCTGTACAACAGCTTCTCCTGGGCTTCGTACCTTTTTAATTCAAAGTTATGTGTCATCCGAGTAGATCTAATCTAGGACAAATTTCTACAAAGCATTTCAAGCTTTCTTGTTGGGTTATCATACACGTTGTTAAATACAAGTTACATGTGGGATTTTTATTTTAACAATAAAAACTACCAGCAGTGAACTATTTTAGGTGATGTAAAATTATGGATAAGAAATTACCAGAGGTCACCAGTAGTTTTGCAAAATACCTGGAAGGTTTAAAAAAAGAAAGTAACTAAAACTAACTCAAACTATATAAAATTTAATCAAAACATAGAGCTTGAAAGCTAGCGCTAAGAAATAATAAAAAAGTACTTTAATACTAAAGCTAAAAGGCAATTTAAAAATAAAAGAAATAAATAATGTAACTATAAGCTGAAAGCTATATAAATATATATATAAATCACAAAGGAGCTAAAGGTTATTCAATATTGATAAATGCTAATGCTAATGATGAATGCTAATCCAAAAAAGTGAACACTAATGTAAGCTATTACGATATAACAATAAAGGGTTTTGGAAATGATAGTTAATTATTTTTATTTAGCATTAACCCTAGCCAAAGCATTTATTTATTTGTACGCTAGGGTTTATGAACAACTGACATAGCTGCTAAAGCAAAGGTATTAGCAAAAATAGCTAAATGTTATATATAGAAACAGCTGAAGGCTAGCAATAACTGTCAAAGTATACTACAGATGATTAAATGCAATTCAGAAATATCAAAATATTTATCTGAATTGCTCAAACCAAAGCTGTACTTGCATTAAAATAGTTCTCAAAATAGTAGCTCAAAATATTAGTTAGCATTAAAAAAAACTATTTTAATAAAAAAAAAATTAATTTGGCTCTTCAGAGTCAATATTGTGCTAAAACAGGAGAATGTACAAGAACAAAGCGAAGACAGTGTGACAAAATTCCTAGAAATGTACCTCAGCCAGGATTAGCAGTGCTTTGCCATAATCTCCAGACACCTCTGACTGCAGGTCCTTAATCATTGATTGTCCAGTTTCTTCAACATACCAGCAAAAAAGGAAGGAAGGAAAGTGAACTCCTTGTCATTGTGACACAGCACACCACTGCAACAACCAAATGTGACCTCTGCTTTTAACCCATCACCAAAGTGAACAGTGGGCAGCTTTAAGCACCCTGAGAGCAGTGTGTGGGGACGGTGCCATGATCAGAGCACCTCAGTGGTAACTTGGCAGCTGGTGGACTCAAACCTGAAACCTTCCAGACCCAAGTCCACGTCCTTAACCACTAAGCCACCAAAAACCACTAAAAACACACATACAGCAGCATGGACATTTACACCAAAAACCACTAAAAACACACATACAACAGCATGGACTTTATTTCACAACAACAAATTCTAACTGTAAAATTCCAACATTATCACACACCTGCGAGATAGGCTTCAGACATGGCCTTTATCTGCCTGTTGGACCTGGAGGAGAAGATCTCAGTCAGTATGGTCTCAGTGGTGCCAGCGCCCTGTAACAGGAGAATAATTACACAGAAAATAATAAGCAATTTTAAATGCTCAAAATTAGCTGAAGCATTCGACCTAAGGTTAATGAGATCACAAAGTTAGTTAAATCTAGTGTAAAGTTGGCTGAAATAAACAGATGTTTGAGAAAAGCTAACGGATAGCTGAAAAGTCTTGGAAAATGGAGATTCAGGAGCTTCAGTACTCCAACCAGGTTTCTATTTGAGTTTGCTTCAAATGTGATGTTTGACAACGGACAATGGCATTGTGATCAAACTGTTGGAGGGATGTCTCCTAGCACGACCTCTCACTCTCACCTTAATGGCACTGATGACTTCTCTACAGTCAAAGACGTCAGGCGGTGTAACCAATGCTACCAGCAGATCCTCAAAGTCTCCGTGAGTGTCTCCCTCCAGGTCGTCCACTAGTTTCTGATGGAGAAAATGTGACGTTAAACAAATAAAACTCTCACCTCACACCAAAAATACATTTTAAAATTACTAATAGATGAACATCCTCCCACCCTTCCTGTGCTCTTCTCATAAGCTTTAGCAATTAGCTGACGCTGTGCATTGCTTCTTTGGATCAACACGTCAATCAGTGTTTTTTCAGTCGTACCTAGGACACAAAAGTCAACATTTAGAAAAGAAATTTGAACTGTATTCTCTGACTTTTTTCAAATTAAATACATATTTATCTACTCAAACTCAAACTCAGAACAGCCTTTTTTCATGCAGATATTTCTAAATGTGTCCATCTCTCACATGCTACATATTTAAAGGCTACGTAGAAGTAAATGCTAGTGATAACTTAAGTTAGTCAGGACATATATTTTGTAAAATGTATTTTACATTATTCAGTGATAACGCAAAATGGCTAGGTGCCGTTTAGCTAGAAAGAAACTCTTTAAACAGCTTGTTCAAAATGTAGTGGAAAAAAAAGAGAATATATGCACCGGAAATGATCTAAAAGCCAGAGATTAAATTTCCTCTTACCGATCCCTTCGATGGCCTTCCTCAGAGCGGCTACATCATCTTCTATTGTAAAGTTTGCCTTATCCTTCACTGTACCTCTTGCACTTGACTGAAAAAACACATTATAATAAACTGTTATATTTGTCTGTGTACACCACCCCAGTGGTAAACACTTGTAAATCATCAATATTAACCAATAATAACTGATGTAGTAAAACTGGTCTGGTCCAGTTCTGGGTCATACAAGTTGTTTGATTTGGCTTGCCATAGCTCAAATGTCCACATTCAATATCCGGAATATGGGCCACAAACATGGGCCAGACTGAAAAGTAGGCGTTGTTTTAGTTTTGGCTGAAATGTGGCCCACAGCCTGTACACAATATATGGTACATTTAAGCTCTTTAAGCCATCTGCATAGTTTGGCCAAATGAATCATTGTTACCAGGATCATGGGTTTCAACAGGTGAAGAGTGTGTCCATCTTACTGTGACTGTAAGTGAAGAAGGGGAGTCTAAGAGAAGGTCCAAGTCATCCTACAATGAAAAAAAACCCCATCTTTACTCGTTAATAACTGTGCTTTCATTAGTTTTTAGAATAATTATAATGCTAATTTGGTCAAAAATCACACCATACTCACCCACACAGACATTGTTGGTATGTGGAAAAAAACCTCTAGAGTCTAACAGAGAAAATAAAGAAGTATTAATATTTTTTAATCACACTCTTAGTGTGATATTTGTACCATATTTTTACAAATTCACTCCCGCCTTTAATTTTCTAGGCCCTGGTGATTTTCAGGCAACGTCATCCCCTGTACTATCACTACAATTGCTTTAGACTTCTTTTGGATGTAAAACAAAAACATTGATTCCTCTTCGTTTCACATCTTTATCCCTAAATAACATTTTTTCCACAATTAAAGTCGGTATTGAGGAATAAGCCTGGAAGATTTCGTTTTATTACAGTGTAATAAAAAACATTTCCTCTATTAGGAGACCGTGGAGAAACCAACTCATCCATAAAAACTAATGGAAAACTAACGTGTGGTTGAAGCCACAACAGTAGCGAAAGTGAGAAAATATAGGTATTTATATGTCGTCTTACCTAAACGAGCCGAAAGGATTGATGTCAATGAAGAATTTTCACAGTTTTTTCGCCGCACCTCTCTGTGAAGTTGACGTCGACGCCCACGAAGAGGAAGAGGAGGAGTGGGAGGTGACTCACTGATTAACTCCTCCTCAATTGTACACAGCAACTATCGCCACATAATTGTGTAACTGCGTTACTGTCTCCGTTTTTGAACAGTTCATGGCCATGGCCGCACAAAGATATCATTAAAGACAATGCTCTTACTTGGGGGTGCTGTGGTAGTGGTGAAGGGGTGAACTACAACTATATAAATTGGGTTACAAATGTACTGCAAAATTCAACAGAATGTATTAATTGGCGGGCTAAAAGTAGATTAGAAAAGTAAATACACGTCTACAACGATGAGTGTAAAGTCATGTTTGTTTCAGGGGTGGGAGAAATAAAACTCTGATTGTTTAAGATGTGATTATTTTCTTAAGGTCATCATGGTCTTTATCCTCTTGTTTTATCAAAGTTTGTCCACCGACCCTTGTGTTTAATATCACATAATAAAACCTGCGTTTAACTATTAAAGTTAATTAACTAATAAATGTTTGTATTCATAACCATATATCCTAAACTTTTATCAACAGACCTATCAAGTTACCCTGTGGTTTACTTTTTGTTGTTTATTTAGCAAAATACTGTGGTTTTTGGTGAATTTAGTAATAATTTAGTAATAATTAATAACGTTGTTAATAATGTTGTTGTTAATTTTATAATGTAGTTAATTTAGTAATTAAATTAAAAATATTTAAATTAACAACATTTAAAAAATATAAAATATATACAATAATTGTTATTTCTTTATTAATTTGTAAATTGTAATTAATATATAACAAATATATCCGCAAACGCGGAGGAGCTCGCCGTAAGACCCGCCTCCTCTCTGACGATTACGGAAGTTAGCAGCAGTGAGCGAGAATACTGAAGCAGCCACTGCCGCCGGCCAGTGAAAAGCTTGACTTTGTTTGACAGCTCGTACGCTGCGCCCTGCTGCTGATATTTTTGACGACGTGTCAGCCGCTTTAAACCCGTGGTGTGCGTCCGTTCGTCACTTGCGGGCTGGTGGTTTACTGGTGAAATAAGGACCGACATTCCCCAAAGCTACGAAACTACAGAGATAAACGCCAGTCAATGGGTAATAAAAACAGAGATTGGTTAGCGTGTAGCTAACCAGCTAAGTTTAGGGCTGTGATGGCTAACGATAGCTAGCAGCGGCTTTTGGTTAGCGCCTTAAAATTACATATAATTGAACTTGTTCTCACTCTGTACGTGTTTTGTTAGCATGTAAGCTGCTAGCTCTTGGAAGCCGTCGTAAATTGTTTTTGCCGGAACACTCGATGCCCCAGCTCTTTGCTATTGTGCTTGGATAACTGGATGTGTAACGCAGTCAGCTGAGCCGTGTTTTGTTTGGCATATGATGATCGTAAAGGGACTACATCAATGAGTGACTAACAAATGAGTTTTGGGAAATGGGGCTGGAAGGTAGCCAGATGATCTCCCCCACCACTGCAAACAGTACAGAGGTCCCGGAGATGGACAGCTGCGCCTGCTGTGGGACTTTGTGAATCTGTGAAGGCGCTGGACAAAGGACAGGAGTGTCTCTGTTCACCACAATTAAGCCCGATCAGAGGCAGGGATACAGGGTTCACTCTTCTGATGAAGCCGAAGATGATGATGAGCCTGAAGACCCTATTGATCACCAGTCTTCTTGGCTGTGTGAAGTGCCAGGAGAGCCAGAGTATGACTTCAGAGGAGATGAGTGGTATCAGGTAAAATTCAGAATATCAAGCACAAAAAATGCTATCTTTCGTTGGTGTAACAGGTGTTCCTACAAAAGATGTAATTGTTAGTAAAAATAATGGTACCAACTGTAAATGTAAAGATGAGCAGGTTTGAACATGTGTGAAAAGGTGGCTGTCCATAAAAAGTATTATTATAATCATTATTGTTGTTATTTTAATAATTACATTAGAATTAAATTAAAAACAAATATTATAAATATGAACCAATTTTGCACAGGTTTCTTTTAAATAGTACACCATTGTTGAGTAAGTCACAATGTTGCAAAAGGTTTGACCAATAAATAAGGTTGCCCTGTAAAAAAAATGCAATTTGTGCCTCATAAGTGTAAAAATAATTAATAATATCCATATGATTTCCACTATGCCTTTGTTACAAATTACTTCTTGTTTTAGTGGGGAAAAAAGTCACAACATCGACAAAGCTGTAAACTCGACATAAAATCTTTTCCATTCTTTTGATTTTGATTGAATTACAGACACCTTCAATGTGTTCTCTTGTCTGCAGGAATCAGATTGTGGAGATGTTCGATCATGCCTACGGCAGTTACATGGTAAACTTACAACATTATTTTTTTTATGGTATTGTTGTCTTAATGGAAGATGGCTCTTTGGTATTTTGAGGGGGTTGTAGCCTTTTATCACATATGAACAATCAATGTTAGTGGGTTTTGTGCAGAAAGCAGATGTGCAGGATTTGGTTGCAGCTGCTGTGTAACCCCGAAGCAACAACGAGTTGATCAGGTTAGGGCTGCAGCAACAATAGAAAAAGACAAAACGTATGCTTTAGAGCAGTGGTACCCAACCTTTTTTGGCTTGTGACCACATTCTAACATTTTAGCAGCTGTCACTTGTGCAGTCATGTAATTGCAGCTGTAAAGGAATTACAATAATAATAGGAATAATAGGAATAATAATAGGAATAATAATTTGTTGAAACAAACATTTTTATCAGTCATTTTTTAAAATCAATTACTAGACATTTCAAGCGACCCCATTTAAAATCCAGGCAACCTCAAGTAGCTTTTTGACCCAGAGTTTGAAAAACACTACCTTAGAGTGTATGAAACTAAACACAAACAGGAGAAATCAAATAGTTTAAATTGAAATATTAATTGAGGTTAAAGGTCATTCCTCATCTTGAGAGTTTCAACCCTTTGGCTATGCTTTTGTTAGTAACATGTTTTCTGTATGACGCCTCTTTTTACTGTGTTGTAGAAATATGCGTACCCAGCAGATGAGCTCATGCCTCTGAGCTGCAGGGGGAGAGTCCGCGGCCAGGAGCCTAACAGAGGAGATGTAGATGACTCCTTGGGGAAGTAGGTTTGTCATCCACTGGCGCCTAGACAGAGCTCATGAGGTTTACTGTACAACCACAGTTACAGTTTTATCAGACAAGCAAGCAGTTTGTCATCAATCCTCCCTCATCAGCTTAGAGCAAACATACAAAACAGAGACCTTTGCTGTCAGTGATGTGTGTGTATATATATGTATATATATATATATATATATACACACACACATACTATATAGTATATATATTAAATAAAAAGTAATGAGTGGCTTATTGGCTAATTTTCTAAAAAAAACAATGGAAAATGAGAACAAAGGTCAAATGCACCGGAAATATAAAACCTGGAAAATATATCGTTAGCTTCTCCCACTATTTTGAATAAATGCAGACAAAGTTAAAATCTTATGCTTATGCTCATACATGTCTGTTCTCACGTTGCACTCAACACGCAGTAACAAAGCATCCATAATATAAAATTTGAGTAAAACTGTAGAATTTGTATTATCTTTAATATAATGCTGTTACATTTACATAACATTAAAATATGTCAAACCAAACCATAAATATGTGAATATTATGGTACATCATACTGTGTAAACTGCACATGACTGGATTTTGAAGATTCACCAGTTCTTCTTTGAACAGATTTATTTTTGTTTATCATAAAAATGCAATAACCTTGAGATTGATTTCCCACTGTTTACCTTTTTTCGGAATACCTAAACCTAAATTTTAAGGGGTGTCAAACTCAATCATCCAATGGGCTGAAATTTAAAACCCAGTCTTAGTTGTGTGCCGAATAAAATCAACATTTCTAGAACAGTCTGTTACTGACGATGCTTTAACCAGAAATGAAAATTTTGAACAGACCTTTTCTACATTGAAATTTGAATTCAAAATATTTACATCAAGCAAAATAGGGATATTATCACACATAAAATGTAGGATATTTCCCAAAATAAAAATGTATTTCATGCGAAATTTCAAGTAAAATGTGTGTGTTACCATCCACGCACGTATTACACTCTCACAGAATTTGACTATTGCGTTTAACCTGTCCAGTACACATTAGTACAGATCTCAAGAAAATGATACACATATGAAGCTCTGCTGGGCCACATAAAATTAATTGATGGGCCAGATGTAGCCACATGAGCCTTAAGTTTGATACACGTGCTATAAAGTGATGGTAATTTATATCCTGGTCTTTTAATCAGAGATACATGGTTGTGCACTAGAGGGAAGGCTGTTCTACGTACAGTGCCACATTTAATGTTTTCTCTTTAATCCTGCTGTTTAGGTTTTCTCTCACATTGATTGACAGCCTTGATACACTGGTGGTGAGTTTTTGCTTTTTCTCTTATGTTCTTTTCTTTGTCTTTAATTGTTTGAATCCTGTATAATTGTAATTTGATTGTTTTTTTTATTTTGAGCAGCTCTTGAATAAGCTGGATGAGTTTGAAGACGGGGTGAAGAAGACTGTGAAGGACGTACGTCTGGACAATGACGTGGTGGTGTCTGTGTTTGAGACCAACATCAGGGTTTTGGGGTAAGATTTTACTTCAAGTGTTTTGTTGTCCTCTTGTCCTATGGATGATGAAATGTAATCTACTACATGAACAGGTTGATACTTATACTGCTGCAATATGATAATAGTATCTTGTGCCATACACACAAAGGTAATTGGTGAAACTGAGCAGTCCACGGTGCTAATTTTTCTTATGCTGTTTATGTGCCTCACTGAAGTATTTCACATTGGCTCCAGTGTTTCCAGCTGCGGTTGCAGTGTGTGAGTTATGTTGATGATTGTGGACTTGGACACTATATATCGTGACATTTTCTTTCCTCCTTCATACAACTCTCCCAGTGGGCTGTTGGGGGCCCATGTTATGGCCGACCTCCTCCGCCAGCGTGGAGACAGGATGCAGTGGTATCAGGACGAGCTCCTGCACATGGCCAAAGAGTTGGGCCATCGATTACTGCCTGCCTTTAACACCACAAGTGGCCTTCCATACCCAAAGGTATGGTGCTCATCTCCCAGAAATGACATTCTCCCAAATATTAATATTAATTAATATTAATTTTCTTTTTGTAGAGCTTAATAAGTCATTTTTGGTATTTTCCAGATAAATCTGCGCTATGGAATACAGAGTCCACTGTCACGCACAGGTACTGAGTCGGACACCTGCACGGCCTGTGCAGGAACAATGATCCTGGAGTTTGCTGCCCTCAGCAGAATGTCAGGAGATTCTGTGTTTGAGGTATGACGTCACACTGCCTAGTGTGACCTGGTGTTTTTAGTAAACGTCAAAACATCCCTGCTCTCATGAGGCACATAAAGTAATACCCTTTAAGATATTTGTAGTACTGATTAATATTTTTAAAAATTAAACTGCACCACATTCATAGTGCAGTCATTCCTTCAATGACCAAGTATAGAAGAATATCAAAGGGATTTGTTTTGGATTTGGCAGAAAAGAGAAGGAAAGAAAAAAACAATTGCATGCATAGGTGTGATGGGCATCCTGACAGTACTAATAATATTTTTCACAGAAGTAAAAAGTTTTCTAACAACAGTAGAATTTGACTCTTCGGCATCCTGACAGTACTAATAATATTTTTACAGTAGAATTTGACTCTTTTCACAGGACTATGCTAGAAAGGCTTTGGACGTCCTCTGGGAGAGGAGACAGAAGGGAAGTGACTTGGTGGGGACCGTTATCAATATCCATAATGGAGAGTGGGTCCGCAGAGGTGATGCAGTTTACTTTAGTACTACATTCGTGGACAGCTGTGAATGGGTTACTGTAGTTTCTGCTAACCTCACTGACTTTTCCTCCATATCTGCAGACAGTGGAGTCGGTGCTGGTATCGATTCATACTATGAATATTTGATGAAGGCCTACATTCTTCTAGGAGATAATGTATTTCTGGAGAGGTTTAATATTGTAAGTTTGTGTTGACTGTATGACTGTATGACTGTGTTGACTGTATTACATACATTCTCTTTATCACTTTCGCAATGCATTTTTATTGTTTGTTGTGTGGAAAATGGCACTGTTTTCACTGTTTGTTAATCTGGTGTCATGGTTTTTTTTAACACCACAGCATTACAGTGCCATCATGAAGTACATCAGTCAACCTCCCCTACTGCTCAATGTTCACATGCACAACCCCACTGTTAGTGTGCGCAGCTGGATGGACTCACTGCTGGCTTTCTTCCCCGGTTTACAGGTCAGAGTTCGATTATAATATACATGACTGTTGACTATTGTAGTCATGGTGGGCGTAGTACTCAGTGGTGGCCTGGTGGTAAAGTAAGTGGACTTGTATCTGGAGGGTTGCAGGTTTGAATCCACAAACCACCAGGTTCCACTGAGGTGCACCAACCCCCACACACTGCTCCCAAGGCACTCAGCTTAAGCTGCCCCCAGGTCACTAAGTTGATGAGTAAAGGCAGAGTTCAGATTTTTTTGTGTGCAGTAGTGTGCTGTGTCACAATGACAATGAATCTGAACTTCCAATTAAATTCAATTAATGTTACACAACATTTACAAAAACACTGGCTTCGGTTGCAACTTTCTTCATGTTATGTGTTATGTGTTAAGTCAACAAGTTCCAAGACAGAGGTTGTCATTTCTCATTAATTTACATAAATAATTGTTGGGTTTTTGTTATTGTTTTTTTTTTTCAATTTTGACTTTCTCATATATGCTGTCAAGTTGTTGAAGAGATGCTGATGAATGCTAACTGTTAATGTTATTAAGTTCCAAAGTGGTTTTATTTCTTACGCAGGTTTTCAGAGGAGATCTCAAACCTGCCATCGAGACTCATGAGATGCTTTATCAAGTCACTAAACAGCACAAGTTTCTTCCAGAGGTAATAAAAAAAAATAGATATTTTATTTTTTAATAATGTTTAAATGATATGTAAACTGATATACTGACACGCACACACATACAGTATGTGCATCTCCTATACACAGAGCTGTGCATAGGAGATGCCCTCACAATCTGTCAGATTTGGAGCAATTTTGCAAAGAAGAATGGGCAAATATTGCGACATCAAGATGTGCCAGACTCATAGACACTTACCCAAAAAGACTGAGTGCTGTAATTAAAGCCAAAGGTGCTGCAACATAGTATTAGTTTAAGGGTGTGCATACCTATGCAACAAGGTTGTTTTAGGTTTTTATTTTTCCCTCGTGAAGATTTCAGTTTGTTTTTCAATTGCCTATTACATGTTATGGATCACATTAAAAGTGGAAAAAGTTATGAAATGATTTATGCTTGTGTCTTTTCTTTACATCACAAAAACCTGGCTTTGAACAAGGGTGTGTAGACTTTTTATATCCACTGTATGTCATGGATATGTTGCTGTACATCATTATGGTTCAACTAAATGTATTACAATAAAGCCAAAATAATAGATATTGCAGACAAAAACCTGAAGTTTGATCCACTGCTGTCTGTTTCATTGGTCATTTTCTCTGCAGGCTTTCACCACAGAATTCAGAGTTCACTGGGGCCAACACCTACTGAGACCAGAGTTTGCAGAAAGCACCTACTACCTCTATAAGGTGATTGAGCTTACAGGTTTTTCCGACTAAAATGTGTCCATAACATTCTTCTAAAAGTCACCGTCTCCTAAAATACACTGAAATTTACATTCAGATACAGGGGATAAGGAAAAAGAATATGTGACGACTGAGGTGAATTCCAGTGTTAACAAATGGATTATATTGTATGTCTAATATTTCACATGAGATGATGAATTGTAGATATTGCTATTGAGAGAATTGGAATATTGAAATATGAGAGTGTGGGATGGTTGAAATGTTGAATTTTTTTGAATACTTAAACTGTTCACATTGGAATATTGTAATACCGAATAACAGAACAGTGAAATATTGCACAGGAGTTGTTTGGAAACAGATTGAGATGTGAGATGTTTTACGTTTTAATTTTCAAAATTTGCATGTGAATTATTTGAATACTGGACCTGAGCAAATTGGAATATTTGAATATTAGAAGATATTTGGAAATTTTGAATTTTGCACATGAGCTCAATTATATATTGCACATTATCAAAATTCTAAATTAGGAAGAAAAGTACATTTTGGATTACAGGAGAACTGTCCTAGGTGTACAGTACAGTACCCCACCAAATAACATCAGCATTGGTTTCACCTGCACTAACCCGACAAACATTTAAGTTGAAGACAACAAATGTGCTCTTAAATGCTGCAGGCCACTGGTGACCCCTACTACCTCAGAGTGGGACAGTCCATCGTGGAGAAGCTCAACGCCTACACCAGGGTGCCTTGTGGGTTTGCTGCTGTTCAGGACGTCCGCACCGGGGCACACGAAGACAGGTGTGGTGTCAGAGATTCAGAGATTCATCACAGTTCATCTCTGTTGAAGTGTTTCAACAGGTGCATACTTATGCAACAAGGTTGTTTTAGGTTTTTATTTTTCCCTCGTGAAGATTTCAGTTTGTTTTTCAATTGCCTATTACATGTTATGGATCACATTAAAAGTGGAAAAAGTTATGAAATGATTTATGCTTGTGTCTTTTCTTTACATCACAAAAACCTGGCTTTGAACAAGGGTGTGTAGACTTTTTATATCCACTGTATGTCATGGATATGTTGCTGTACATCATTATGGTTCAACTAAATGTATTACAATAAAGCCAAAATAATAGATATTGCAGACAAAAACCTGAAGTTTGATCCACTGCTGTCTGTTTCATTGGTCATTTTCTCTGCAGGCTTTCACCACAGAATTCAGAGTTCACTGGGGCCAACACCTACTGAGACCAGAGTTTGCAGAAAGCACCTACTACCTCTATAAGGTGATTGAGCTTACAGGTTTTTCCGACTAAAATGTGTCCATAACATTCTTCTAAAAGTCACCGTCTCCTAAAATACACTGAAATTTACATTCAGATACAGGGGATAAGGAAAAAGAATATGTGACGACTGAGGTGAATTCCAGTGTTAACAAATGGATTATATTGTATGTCTAATATTTCACATGAGATGATGAATTGTAGATATTGCTATTGAGAGAATTGGAATATTGAAATATGAGAGTGTGGGATGGTTGAAATGTTGAATTTTTTTGAATACTTAAACTGTTCACATTGGAATATTGTAATACCGAATAACAGAACAGTGAAATATTGCACAGGAGTTGTTTGGAAACAGATTGAGATGTGAAATTTGCATGTGAATTATTATTGTCAAATTGGAATATTTGAATATTAGAAGATATTTGGAAATTTTGAATTTTGCACATGAGCTCAATTATATATTGCACATTATCAAAATTCTAAATTAGGAAGAAAAGTACATTTTGGATTACAGGAGAACTGTCCTAGGTGTACAGTACAGTACCCCACCAAATAACATCAGCATTGGTTTCACCTGCACTAACCCGACAAACATTTAAGTTGAAGACAACAAATGTGCTCTTAAATGCTGCAGGCCACTGGTGACCCCTACTACCTCAGAGTGGGACAGTCCATCGTGGAGAAGCTCAACGCCTACACCAGGGTGCCTTGTGGGTTTGCTGCTGTTCAGGACGTCCGCACCGGGGCACACGAAGACAGGTGTGGTGTCAGAGATTCAGAGATTCATCACAGTTCATCTCTGTAAGACAGGTGTGGTGTCAGAGATTCAGATTCATCCCCTTCATCTCTGATGAAGTGTTTCAACAGCTTGGGTTTGTCTTTGTGTATTCACATTGATCTCTGCGTGCAGGATGGACTCCTTCTTCCTAGCAGAGATGTTTAAATACCTCTACCTGCTGTTCACGGAGAAGAGCCAGCTGCCCATTGACATTGACGACTACATCCTCACCACTGAAGCTCACCTCCTCCCCCTGTCTCTCTCCACCACCCAGTCTTCATGTCAGGGCAATGTGACAGGGAGAAACCTTGACTCAGCACTAACAGAGGTTCACAATTTTATAAATTACATAGGATTTTTATCACGCAGGAGGTACTGTGTATGTGTCAAAAGTAAAACTTACTTCAACTGTAATGACTGTGTTCCAGACGACCGATTCTGCCTCTCAAGAAGAATACTTGTTCTCACATTCCTGCCCTAGCACAGAGACGCTGTTTCCTAACAACCCTTCATTTGCAAAGTCCATCCGGGACAGTTACAAATACCTCACTGGAGTGGGACGAGCCTTCCGCCCTTTACCTGTCAGGTCAGTCCATTAGCAGGGACAAACTGAGCCTCTTATGATAATCTTTTATTTTGTAGTTTTCATCCATTTACTTTTACTCCACAGGGAAATAGAGCTTCCACTCCATGATAATGGAATGGAGCCGATGGAGTTTTTAAAAAGTATGGGCATTTCTCTGACCCAACTACCCCAGGCCACTGAAGGAAACTTTGTAAGTCCCGCGCTATTCATCTGTTTGTTTCACAACTTGAAGTTCTATTGCAACTGTAACCAAACATTTTTTAAAAATAAATGTTATATATTTTTAATTGATATATTCTGAATATAACAATAAATAATTTAATATAATGTTATCTATATATATGTGTATGTATGTTTGTATGTATGATACATCCATATATATACATTTTTTATATATACATATAATGTGTGTATGAATGTATATATATAAATATCTTTATATATGTGTGTATATGCTTATGTGTATATACAGTATGTATATGTACATATTTTTATATATAATTTTTTTTATATATATATATATATTTTTTTTTTTTAATTAAACTACCCTCAAATGTTTATGTCAATATTTTTATATATATTTTTTTTTATATTTATATATTTTTTTTTTTTTTTTTAATTAAACTACCCTCAAAACAAGGGAAATAGAATTTTTAATAATGGCAAACGCATTTCAACATATTTTTTAGTCTTTTTTTTTACTTTTTGTGGAAACATTGTTTTTATGGGTTCAGTAAAAATATTTAGTTGTATGGATGGACATTTAACTCTGTTTGCAGCTTTAAAAAACACCTAGAGTGTAAACTAATGTGTTCAATTTTTAACCACTTTCAGGAGCATAAAGGCGTGTTCCGGGTAAAACTGGTGGCGGAGGTAAGCCCCACAACAGAAGAAATAGAAGTAGTCCCTCATGCAGTCCAGCTCATTTCGCCTCCTTTTCTGGGCCGGACAGTTCTGACTGCTGGACCTGCTAAGTTTGGAATGGACATTTCCAAACAGGAACATGGGGTGAGACTCTATAACGGTACAAAGAAATAAGTAACATTTGCCTAAAGGCAAACAAGATGACCTTAGGTCAGGTGAAAAAACAACACAAATATAATCTGTAGTCTGTTTATTGTCCATTTTTTCATGACACACTGACTTCCGTTCGTTGACTTGACTTTGTTGTGTTTCTCAGGTGAAGGGCAGCATCGTGAAGGCGTCTCCCTACACTGCCTGTGTACAAATAGACAACACAGCGGACATTAAAGGCCACATCGCCTTAGCTCTTCGCGGTGACTGCATGTTTGCCACAAAGGCTCGTCAGCTGCAGGAAGCTGGAGCCATAGGAGTCATTTTCATAGGTGAAGAACTAAGAACAAGAAAACTGTCAGGACTGAACCTAAACTGAGAATTAATTCTTAACTTTTACCTTTTTCCCCCCAGACCACCGTGAAGGTAGCAATAGCGACGACACTCCTCTGTTCCAGATGGTTGGAGACGGAGAGTCCACCAACGACATCACCATAGCTCTGGTCTTTCTATTTGGCCGTGAAGGTGCGGTTCTCACGTCTGCTCTAGAGGAACATCAGAATGTGGACGTGCTGCTGCTGCCGAAGGAAAATCATCTGGGACGTGGTGAGAGCGAGAAGACAGTGGTGTTATATATAAAATAACATATAAAAACAACACT